GCCCTAATTATAACCAAGATGATCAGGGATACATGAAATTCGAATTTCCTTTGGGTCATTCCACGCCGATTCGACCAGAGCATTCAAAACACGAATCTTCATTTCTAGACTACATAGCAAATATTCTTTCTTTACCGCTTTCAAAAGCACTTTCGGTTTCGACTCAGGAACCTCGAGATCTTGCTTTCCGTTTTTAGTTCACTCAGTGCCGATTTATTTCGAAACAAAATCTCGGACTACACGAGGAGTGTCTTGGAAGAAAAGACGATTCCTCGTTACAGAGCATTGTAGTGCAATTCATGCGAGACCACTGTTTCGATTCATCGATTCCAATTAATTCATGCTTGATAATGCTGAGGGGGGTGACATGGAATGATTTTGATGGAAGAATTCCCCTCCGTGTGGTTTTGTGATGACGCTCTTCATCGGCTCATTCGCTCGCGTCAAAAGCATGAGACCCGGAGGAGGCAGAAGCGAACGGTGAAGCCTCCACCGGTTTAAATGAAAGGCCCATGCCTGGTGACGAGATTTCCAGAAGTTTCGTGCTCTACCATCTTATTAAAAAAAAAAATTGGAAAAATTTCATGAACAGGTCTTACATGAAACTCCAAAATCCGAAATGTTTTATTTTTCTTACAGTTGGTGAAGGAGATAGGAATTTTGAAAATATCGGTTTTTAGGCATGGGTGATTCCTCGGGCGATTTTCAGAACTCTTCAACTGCGACGGCTAGGAATGCTTGGAATGGTTCATATGTGGGGCATGAATTATTAGAATCCAATTAATACCACGATAATAAGGATTTCATGAAATCTGAATTATATCCCTGTTTCAAAGCATGCTCATTTTTTTCGAATTTCACCACTCCATTAACTTTTGTGGGACGTCAACGTGACAAAACGAAAATTGCAGTGCTAAGGAGTTGTAGCGGGACTTATTGCGCCCTGATTCGCATTACAATCGTTTCATATTACTTGATCCGTTTCGCATCTTTGTTCACGAAGTACTACTCTCACAGGCTGTCAGCCTGGGTTGGGTATCGTAATAATAGGTATCATAATATCATAATAATCATAATAATAGCGTTGTAGGTTTGCACGGGCCGAGAGCCTCTTGAGGGCGTCACCAACAAAATCACACGGTCCCTTACCTTACCGCTGCAAGGAAATTCCATTAAGAATCGAATTTGGAAATACTCATCGTTCGTTACTAACATATGAACCAATGACTAAATTTGCATCCTACTCTGCCCTAAATTTGTGGTTTCGGGAAGACTTCCCCATCTCTCAGTTGTCCATCCGATCGGGTCCACGGCACGAAAATAGTCTGGCAGTGTCTTGTCGTCTCCTCATCTCGTTTCGCATTTAGAGGATTCGTTAAAGCAAATTTCCCCTAGGCCCGTGCATTGTTCGCCCGTTCAGTGATCCGATAAACATTGTCCCATTGTCCTTTTGCTTTTAATAGGCGAAGCAGCTGGCTGTTCACGTAGAGATCCGGTTACCTTTACCCATGTAAGATGGCCCTTCGGCCGCAAACCCAGTGGGTCGCCGATAAAGAAACCGAGCCACGTCTCTGGGATTTCTTAAGTGAGGAACCTGATTTTTTCCTTCTTACGGCAAAGCGAAATACATTGGAATTCGATATGATCATCTAAAGATGAAAGTGAGCCCAGGGAGACGTCTGGCAATACTGGCACTGTGGAAGGAGGAAGTGCGATTCAGGCTTCGAGACGAACACACGACTGCAAATAAGTCCCTATGGAATGAACCCATCTCGAAAGCATCTCCTCCGCCTTCAATCAAGATGATACCCCCTGCTTCCATCCAGCATGAGACGAGAAGCACGAACAAATCTCGCGCTCGTCGGCTTCTTCGCGTCGTTCGTCGACGTTTTCGAAGGAGCGAAGACGATGCATGCCGTAACGAAGGAGCAAGTCATTCTGCAATTTTGTATTTTGAACGATGGGAACCACGCAATGAAACGGCGGTGGTGGCTTTTCTCGTGGAGCCCGTGTGAATACGAGCGACGACGAACTCACAAGTAATTCATCACGAACGCTTAAAATCCCTGAATTCGCGGCAGCATGCCGGAGGCGATGAGCGATGTCAGAGTCCCCTGACGCGTCCCGTGCCAATTCTGGTCTCCGCGTCCATCCTGAAGATGGCGAGACGAGGGCGAAACTCGCATTTCCTTGGAATTTCCTCCCTTGCTCCCCTCAACTCACCCAAACTTTTCTATCAAGCTCTCGACTATTGCTCGTAAAGCTTCGTCTTAACAGGGTATGCTTCAGATGAGCACCAACAAAATTCACGAAAATATCGTTTCTCATACTGCCCATGGTAAGACAGATCCTTGAAAAGTTGCGAAGAACTGACCAGAGGTGTGGCCTTTATGCTCCAAGAGGGAGGGGTAAAATAGGCGAAAATACGCGCGCTCCCCAAGTTAAAGAGTAAATTTCAATAGAAGCCTCAAATGCAAATAAATCTGGTACGGCAAGTTGGGAAAATGCAAAGAGAATGCATTCCTTCCGCGCGGATATGATAAACATGTCGCGTATGAATTTCCTTATGTCTAACATTTCTTTTTATTATTTAAATCTCTCATTCCTATAGGTAGGGGAAGATGGGGCAAATGTAAAATTGCCCAAAATTTAGTACCAAGTAATCTGCGGAGCACGTTGAGAATTGGCATGCAGCACATGCAGTCTTACCTACAACTAGGATTCAACTTCATCGCGAAATCAGGGATGGTTTTTCCCCAACGAAAATTCTAAAAATTGTTATAAAATACTTCATTTAGCCCCACCCATGGGGCAAAATAGGGTGTCCCTTAGGGGCGAAACGGGGTATTCCTCCAAATATTATTTTTAACGTTTTTATTCATAATGTATACCTAATTAAATAGGTCACGGATGAGAGACCGCAACGAAACACCCACAAATTACAAACCGCTACTTTCTTTCGTTTCCCCAGGTCTTTATTCTTACTTACAACGGTGAAAGAATAGAAACAGCAATGAAATGTTTACAAATAAACCGTGATTTTCCCCATATTTTCTTGATCTACTTATTGCCCACAGAACGGAAACAATTATGAACATTTTAAGGCAAAATAATCACTGCTGTTTCAATTCGCTATCCATGTATTCAGCATCGATGCAAATTTATAGATGTCACAGAAACACACGTCCTCATCCGTGTCGTCATCGATGCCTGCACAGTCGTCACGAGCCGAATCCCCGCGAGCCAACCTCCACTGGGTTTTGAGCGAGAGAGAAAGAATGTGAACAGTAACGCATCGCGTCGGCCGGAGTCTCACCATCGTCATGGATATTCCAGCCAGAGAATAGATATATAGAGCCGCCCCATTTTGCCCCTTCACCGTCACCCCGTTTTGCCGCATTAGCACCGTCTACGATTAAGACACTGCCAAACAAAAGGTGAGTGAGCTATGCAAAAAAAAAAGATGAATTAATGTAGTAGTTCACATTTTCACCTTAAGCCGAAAAAGAATATCGGACGCCTACAATATTCCCGTGTTACTTTGTTTCGCTCATGAAAAACTCGAAACAAAATAAGAAAAGTCGACGTTTTCTTATTTTTCTCCTCGGGTGTTTACAAACTACTTCGCATAGCTCCGCCGTGCCTGAAAACTTGCACCTGTCATTGTTATAATAGTGTAAATAGCCGATAGATATGGGGTATGGATTGATTAAAATCTGAGTTGCCCCGTTTTGACACTCACCCTATTTTGCCTCACCTTCCCCTACTATGTGTAAATGGCAGATATTGCGATCGGTCTGACACTTTTTCAAATATTCCGTGTGCCCACAGTAACCACAACGACCGGACAACACTGCTCACTGCGCATGCGCAGCTTTCTGCCTGGGTCGGGTTCCATCTTCCACTCGAACATCCACTTCCCTTCCAACCCGCGTGGATGACGTATCCTTACTAGACAATGGGAGAGAGCGGCTTTTCGCGGCCGCGTAGACAGGGTTACTAGGTGCATGCGTGAACTGCGGGATTTGGCATCCTGCACTCGATACTGTCCTCCCATCTCCACGCGACGCGGACTCCCGGACCATCGAGAGCATGTCATGTTATCCGGGCCTTCTGATATAGGCTCATGCCAAACCAATGACAGCTATTATTGGCACCAGTGGTACAGGGGCCAGTGGAATGGCAGATCTGTACCTTGGCTGGTACTTTCTAGACTTCTATTGTCCTTGAAGCAATTGCCCGACGCCTTTGAATGAACTTACATATCTTCACTTTCTTATTTCCATGTTTGACTTAGAACACTTTGAGAAATTGTAAAATAATTAATATGATCTAAATGTGTGCACTCTAATGTTGACCTTCCGTATGTTTTTTTAACGCCCTGCGCACATTGTAATCCAACACTAATCCAATCGAAGTGGAGACCTATGATGCAGTCGCCTCTGCAGGTCTTGGAACCAGTCATACTTATATTTACTTCGGGAAAAAAAGTACCTGGAGAAGGAGGGAGAGACAAAGATAGGGGAGATGGAAAACATTATCTGGAATAACATTGTTTTTGACAAAGGAACTTTTAAATCTTCCCCCTCCCATATGTCTCGTTATTCTTGTAAACAATGAGTTGACAAAAACTATCTTGTTGAAGCATATCTCCGTATGCTTCAACAAGATAGTTTCTGTCAGAACAGTAGAAGTAGAACAATAAACAATAGTCATGCCATGTCATCCCTCTGTGTTTTCCCCCCCTTCCCCAACTCTCGAAGGTCTTCGCCGCTTCCCGGCAGAGGTTGCTTTCCGACGGGGCCTGCCAGTTTCACCGCGCCCTCCTCTCCTTCCCGTCGGTGCTGGTCGCGCTCGCCGTATCTTCACCTTTTATTAACCGGACTGGAACGCCCTCTAGCGCTTGGTACAGTGCAAACGGGGTCGTCGAAGGCCTTCACCCCTCCCCCCCCCCCATTCCCTTCCCAGTGTCGCCTTTAGCGCTTTGTGCGTGGTTGATAATGAACGTTCGCTTTATCGATCATGTTATTCAGCGACAAGGATAATTTATTTCAGGAAAATTAATTCCCTTCATGTCATATTCCAGGTTAGTTGATGAATATTTATTCTTTCCTGATAAATATATGACACATGACATCACACGCATATTCTTGACATATGATTTATATATATACTTATAAGATGTATATGTACAATGGACATATCCACAGACGAACTAACCTAATGGAAACCCTGTACATTGCATTGTGCACCGGGACACGAATCAGGAGTCAATTGTTACAGGAGATTGTACTGTATAAATGATGCGATGCTTTGTAATCCTGTGGAAGTTGGCCTAATAACCCACGTCATACTTGGCAAGAGAGCACCAGATGATGGTTCCATTAACCTCTTCAGTGATGCATTTTTCGACACGGAATAAAATTTTTAAATATTGCAGCTGTAATATTAAAATGTACACGTATATATGTAAATATAATTGAAATGTTATTTTGTGTAAAGTCCAAAGTACTTTGCAAGCTGGGGAAACAATGACACCAACTGCCATGAAACCTCCCACCAAAGAGCAAAATCTGTGGCATCTGAACAGTTGAGGATAATTTTTTTTACCATATTAAAAACACAGAATCAAATGTCCACATTAGAGCCAGATTCCTTGAAGAGATTATGCACCCAAGGAAGGGTCATCTTCGGCGGAGGTACTCCTTAAATGTGTTTGTTCATTTAGCCTTCAAAGAACTGCATGTCGATGAAATTTCCCCCTTCAACCCCATTTCTATCAGACAATAACAGTGATATGCAGTAAAAATATCATAATGTTACCGCAAATGTTGACAAAGACAGAAAAACTTGAACAACTGAAAGAAGAGAAAGAGCATCTGAAAGAGGTTCAGTGCATGAGATCAGGGGAACAAAAGGAGGTTCGCGATGATGAATATTCGCATAGCAGCATCGTCGAAGAAATGGTATGTACATACTAGTATTATGGTGGTATCGAAGGTGGAAGCCATCCCAATGAACAATTACCCGAAGTGTCTTATTTACAAGGGCAATCAAAGAGAAAACACCTGCATGGAGATGAATTCTGAGAAAAGGGACCCGCTGGAGGATGAGTCCAAGATGAATGAAAACAGTTTTTTTGAGGTTTCTCCTGTTGACAGTCACACAAGAAAGCAGGTTAGTCCCTGAGTACTTCTGGACATTTCCGACAGCCGATGTACATTCTTTTATTTAGTACATTCTTAACTGCGCAGAAGGGGCTGACGCCTACCGAGGAAGAGGAGGAGGGGGAAGATAAAGGTGACAGAGATGCGGATCATCAAGTTCAGATCATGGAAGAAAATGAAAAACTGCGAAGGAAACATTCAGAAATGAAGGATATGGATCCTATGATTTCAGTTCTAAGGGAGAGACTAGCAAAGTTGGAGAAGGAGGAGGCAACACTCGGGCAGGCCGATTTGGAATTCCAAGAAAGTAATTCATTTCTTTTACCTGAAAAGCCTATTTTCTCTTGTTTTGCTGAGATCTATTTCGAGTCTACAGTGATGGTAATTAAACTTCCCTTGTATCATTTTCATTTCAGAGCTTCCAAATTTAGCAGGAAAGCTGGAAACCCTCGCGTCCTCAACCGTCTCATCCGCGAGCCCATTCATGAATGAACGGTTCAGGTCGAAAACACCTGAACCGTCACTCTCCCATGCCTTTGCCTGTAAAACGATGCCTGCGATACCTGAATTGCAAAAATCCTCCTCGTGTCCTCCTTTCACGTTACCCAGGCCTGTCAAGGGAATTCAAACGAATTTCGAAGGAACAACATTAGGAAATGGTCCAGACATTATTTGCATATCATCACCTGAAGAACACGACCTTGAGAATTCCATCCCAACCCAGTCCGATAATGAGGTGAATGAAATTGCGTCCAATTCTAATGGAATCAAATCATTTTCCCTGAAAAAGCATTCAATTTACTGCTCTATTTTCTGGACTTGTATAAAACCTTTTTATCTCTTCCATTCCTATAATTTCAAGGCAGAATGATAGGAAGTTACTTTTTTTTCTTAAACTTGACCTCGTCCTGCTTCCTAATTGTCTCATCTTGTTGAAATGGATAGTGTAAAAATAGGAAATAGTGAAAACGAGTAAGATTGAGAAGGTATAATGATTATTGTTTTGTCTTCTCCTGAATTAATCACATTTTCATAGCCAGTTCAAGTTCCTGATCCTCTAAGGGCAAATATTTTTAATTAGAATTTTTTCCAAAAACCTTTTCAGTTGTAGAAAAATAAATAAATATCGACAGCTGTTAGTTGTTACCGAATCAGTGCTTCAGGTAATCATATCATCCGTTTTGGAGAAGTATCCAAATATTGTCCTTCGAATCTGATGAATTCCCAAACATTTTTTCCCTTCCATAAGCTGGAGAGGTCTCGAAAACTAACAATCAGTACGCAGGTGCCTGTTGAGATGCATGTTTTAGGAAGAAAGATCCACTTGAGAAATTTCACCGTTGACATCCTAGTACTTTTTCTGGAGATAATTTCCATGAATTTTTTGTGTTCCAGTACTCAGGATTGTATAGTAAGGTTCAATTTTTGTTACAAAGTATTTCTATGAAAGATGATTCCAAGAAAAATCTGTTTTTTTTTGTTCCTTTCAATGCCGACACACAATTTTGTGTGTACGAGAGATGATCGGAAGGTAACAAGACAAGGCCTGTTGTAGTTCTGAAAGCAATTTATTTTAGAACCTGTCACGCACGTGTTGTGGTAGTACCTATCCTGCACCACTTCAAATGGTCACCACACTGTTTGAGACATTCGTCCCATCGAAGAACCGGCTTTTCGATGCCATCCTCAAAGAATTCCGTGTCCGGTTTGTGTAACCACACTCGAACTGGATCTTGAACTGCAGAATCTGCTGCGAAATGACGTCCGCTGAGGCGTTTCTTCGAAGACCTGAATAGATGAAGTCGCTGGGTACGAGATCGGGGCTGTATGGAGCACGATCGAGGACTTCCCACCCAAACCCCTTCAACAACTTCTGCGTCTGATGGGCGGTATGGGGTCGTGCGTCATCTTGCAATAGCCTTGGTAAGGAGCCCTTCACGTTTCCTTCGGATGGCTTCATGCAGTCTCTCCAGCGTTGCATTGCATGCCGCAGCGTTAACACTTGACCCGTGCTGCAGGAAGTCCACAGAAAGCATACCCTCCTGAACCCAGAAGACAGTTCCCATCACCTTCCCCGGTGACACTGTTGCTTTGAATTTCTTCTGCACGGGTGATGGTGCATGCTAACTTTCCATCGATGCTTGTTTGGACTCAGGCGTGAAACGGTGGACCCACGTTTCGTCGCCTGTGACAATTCACTGCAGAAATGCGTTTCTCTCTGCAGCGTGATGTTGAACGTTGGAAAGGTTGCAGTCCATGCGTTTAGCTTGTGATCCTCGGTTAAAGCCGTCGGCATCCAGAGCGCAGGCATCTTCTGGTACCGTAACACGTCGTGGACGATGTCGTACAGCACTCCGTGCGAGAAGCTGACTCGTTTGACTCGTTGCGAAATCGCCGGCAAGGTTCTCCGTCTGTCCTCTTGGATGACCTCGTCGATTCGCATCGGTCGGCTCGGGCGGCCACTCCGTTCGGTGACTTTAGGTCATTTCTAAACGGCTTTCACCATTCTACCACGTTCTGCCGGTTCGTGAAGACGTCTCCGTGCACTTCCACGAGTTGCGGATGAATTTTGGGCTGCTGGCTCGCTCTTCACCCATAAGAAAAGGAGAACCCTGCGAACTTCTTCGCGTGGACATGGTTTCAAGCTCGTCGCCATGCTCAGACTGCCACTGCTCATGCCCTACGGCACTGGCATCGGCTGACAGCTCTTGGAGTCAGTAACCTCGAAGTTGTGAATCCGCCTATCGATCACAGCTTCGCGATTTTAAAACCACAGCCCTTGTCTTGTTACTTTCCGATCATCCCTCGTACGTTTCCGATAAATATTTACATTACGCCGATTCAGAGAGCTATACCTCGTACGAAGCCAAAATTTGCTACAGAACTGGTACGATCGGTGCTATCATCTAAGGAAGCTAAGAATCTCGATTATTTTGCATTAATATGTCAATATGAAGTCAAATAATCAGAAGTAACTCACTGTCAATAGGGAATTTAAGAATAATTATAACCCGAGGAATTTCATCACAATGCTCGAACTCGGATTTTTCAAACAAATTACCCATTATCTAAGAACGACAAACGCCGAAGACGCCAAAATAGCGAGATTGTTTGCCCGCAAGGTTAACAAAACTCGCCAGATTCAAATATGCTTCTTTTTTTCAGACGCGGGACTATATCCCACCAGAAGGACTTCTGAGAAGATTGTCAGAAAATTACAATTGGGTATCGTGTATTAAGAAACTCGTTGCTGCCATTTTCACTCAAGAAGAACTGCAGGAAGCGACACCGTTCGGCTCTGATATATATTCAGCGCTAGACACACAAAAGATGAAATTCGTAGAAGGTGGGTTATCTTTTCCNGTCTGATGGGCGGTATGGGGTCGTGCGTCATCTTGCAATAGCCTTGGTAAGGAGCCCTTCACGTTTCCTTCGGATGGCTTCATGCAGTCTCTCCAGCGTTGCATTGCATGCCGCAGCGTTAACACTTGACCCGTGCTGCAGGAAGTCCACAGAAAGCATACCCTCCTGAACCCAGAAGACAGTTCCCATCACCTTCCCCGGTGACACTGTTGATTTAAATTTATTCTGCACAGGTGATGGTGCATGCTAACTTTCCATCGATGCTTGTTTGGACTCAGGCGTGAAACGGTGGACCCACGTTTCGTCGCCTGTGACAATTCACTGCAGAAATGCGTTTCTCTCTGCAGCGTGATGTTGAACGTTGGAAAGGTTGCAGTCCATGCGTTTAGCTTGTGCTCCTCGGTTGAAGCCGTCGGCATCCAGAGCGCAGGCATCTTCTGGTACCGTAACACGTCGTGGACGATGTCGAACAGCGCTCTGTGCGAGAAGCTGACTAGTTTGACTCGTTGCGAAATCGCAGGCAAGGTTCTCCGTCTGTCCTCTTGGATGACCTCGTCGACTCGCATCGATCGGCTCGGGCGGCCACTCCGTTCGGTGACTTTAGGCTATTTCGAAACGGCTTTCACCATTCTACCACGTTCTGCCGGTTCCGGATGCCGGATGAATTTCGGGCTGCTGGCTCGTTCCTCACCCATAAGAAAAGGAGAACCCTGCGAACTTCGCGTGGCCATGGTTTCAAGCTCGTCGCCATGCTCAGACTGCCACTGCTCATGCCCTATGGCACTGGCATCGGCTGACAGCTCTTGGAGTCAGTAACCTCGAAGTTGTGAATGCGCCTATCGATCACAGCTCCCCGATTTTAAAACCACAGCCCTTGTCTTGTTACTTTCCGATCATTCCTCGTACGTTTCCGATAAATATTTACATTACGCCGATTTAGAGAGCTCGTACGAAGCCAAAATTTGCTACAGAACTGGTACGATCGGTGCTATCATCTAAGGAAGCTAAGAATCTCGATTATTTTGCATTAATATGTCAATATGAAGTCAAATAATCAGAAGTAACTCACTGTCAATAGGGAATTTAAGAATAATTATAACCCGAGGAATTTAATCACAATGCTCGAACTCGGATTTTTCAAACAAATTACCCATTATCTAGGAACGACAAACGCCGAAGACGCCAAAATAGCGAGATTGTTTGCCCGCAAGGTTAACAAAACTCGCCAGATTCAAATATGCTTCTTTTTTTCAGACGCGGGACTATATCCCACCAGAAGGACTTCTGAGAAGATTGTCAGAAAATTACAATTGGGTATCGTGTATTAAGAAACTCGTTGCTGCCATTTTCACTCAAGAAGAACTGCAGGAAGCGACACCGTTCGGCTCTGATATATATTCAGCGCTAGACACACAAAAGATGAAATTCGTAGAAGGTGGGTTATCTTTTCCTATTGGTGGAATAGTTTTCGCGTCACTGGAATATTTTGCTTCCTTTGGAATCGTCATGATATGATGAAGCATGACACGTAAAAAGTAGTCATACCAAAATATTTCAAGAAAATTATTTTACAATGTTTACTCCTGCAATACTTGTTCTTGACGAAATCTGCGTTCAGGCATGTTACCATGCGGCCGTTCACAACATTCATATTAGCAACACCTTATTGTTGTCTTGGAATAATAAATATATATGTTGATAATTTTGGTGATGGAAAAATCTTGTTTCCTCCCATTTGTGATGTTCCCCCAGGCTATTTAGCGGACCGCTTCAAGTTTCCACCGGGCAGAGTGAAGCGGAAGGTTCGTTCCATGTGCAGGTTTTACCGATTTCGTTTATTGAAGAAAATGGAAAAGCTGGCTGCAAGGAAACGGCATCTGGAAAACGCGAGCTCTTCGGTCGTGGCACCTGCGACTGATATCAAGGTACAAGACTGAGAGCGTTTTTTCCTGTTCTGATGCCGCATGGTGGGATTCCCACACCCGACCTGATCGAGTGTGGGTGTGGGTGTGGGTGTGGGAGGCCATACTGCGGAAAGGGTGTGGGACATTTTTTAGGGTGGGTGCTTCTGTCGGAAATACATGTTCGAAGGAGACGATTTGCAAGAGAATGGGCATATTATTCATTTCAGACAACCGATGAGATTCTGCACAAACCGAGGCACTGCATGATTGTTTTAGTTTTTGCTGACAGGATAGGACATGAAATTATTTTTTAAATATGCACACTGTAAAATCTTCCAAAAAGAAGTCATGGGCAAAAAGAATCGTCTAATGTAAACTCTATTGTTAGCTATGATTGCATGGAAAACGTCTTGAATGCCTTCTTAAGAAAGCTCTAAAGTCATACAATATGATCCTTAACATAACCGGCAAAAGAACTCAGCGTTTCTGTCTCGGTGAAAATACACGGAAACCCAGTGTATGCCAAGGCAAAATAGCTTGTTGGCACTCTAAGCATCAGCATCAGGATAAGGAACCAACATTCGTGGCGGATGGAAGCAACCACGCACAGCCCTCCATCCTCCCATCATCGTTTCATGAGCATCGTTTGTCTAAGTTTACCAAATATGAATGAGAAATGAGGTTTTTGATGGTCGAAGACCGGAAAGAGATGGCATTTTATTTAATTAAGTGACAAAATGGGAGTTTCCTTAACTGAAAGGAGGCTCCCTTCAGGGCTTGGCTTGCCCAACTTGTTTTAAATGCCTGATGTGAAGCTCAAGTGGAACACACTTTCCTTTACAGCCAAACGAACATGTTTTTCAAACTTTGACGAAAGAGCGAACTGAACAGCTACTACGACGACAAAGGCCAAAGCAATCAGCTGATCCTGACGGTCTTAGTCCTTGGGCGATACGAAATGCATCTAAAGCACTATCCGAGCCAATGATGGACATCTTAAATGAGTGCTTGCGACAGAGAAAAATTCCGAAAATCTGGAAGAAGGTAAAGATCGTCCCACTTCCGAAAACTTCCCACCCCAAAGAATTAAAGGACTACAGACATGTAGGGCTATCGTCTCTTTTCCTTAAATGCCTTGAGTACATGATACTAGATGAGCTCCAAGAAAAGATAGATTCAAATTCCAGGGGTCAAAATCAGTTTGCATACCGCAGATCTTGCAGTACATCTGATGCCGTTGCGACTCTACTCCATCATGTAATGAAAGCTCAGGACGACAGGACTACAAGGATTGTTCCAGCATTATTCCTCGACTACACCTCAGCATTCAACTGCATCAACCGGGGAGACTCCATTTGTAGACTTATCATAATGAAGGTTCCAAGAAGCTTGCTCGAACCAGTGGTGAACTACCTCTCAGACAACACTAAGTATGTCAAATTGGGTAAGAAGAATTCCGATGCTCAAAGTACGGTCGCAGGAGTAGTTCAGGGCGGGGTTCTGTCTCCTTAATTTTATTCTTTTGGAACTGATCCACTCAAGGCAACGGAAAAAACTGCATCATCTTAAAATATGCAGACGATACAGTCATCGTATCCACCATCAACAACAAAGAAGATGTAACGGCATATCAACGAGAAATTGATCACGTTCAAACCTGGTCCGAAAACTCCGCTTTGATTTTGAACCCAAAAAAATCAGCGGAAATAGTCTTCAAATCAAAGAAAAAGGTCCCAGAGGAATGGCGGAAACAAATTAAAATCGGAGGCTCATGGGTAGCTCAGTCGAACAGTGCGAAATACCTGGGCATGACCATAGACACTGGCCTCACTTTTAAGAACCTAATTCGAAGACGTCTACAAGAAATGCTTCTCGAGATCAGTGTTTGCGGTTCGTCTTCTCGGGAATGTTCGTAACTCCAATCGAGCAGTAGTGGACTTCGTGGAATACTGCATCTTGTCTTGTTTATTATATGCCCTACCAATCCATGCTGGATATTTGACCGAGGAAAGCAAACGCTTACTTTTGAAACTGCTGCGCAGGCTTGCCGCTGTATACAACACGAACAGCAAGGTCTATGTTACCAATTTTGTCGAGAAGGTAAATTCTCTAGGTACTGCCCTGGCCATGCGCATTTCAAGGAGTGAAGATCATCCTTTTAGACCAGATATACAAAAAGCCATTGGACAAAGGAGTGGTCCCGTTACCAGAAATGGTATTCGCCATCCAAAAACCAACACATCCAAGTTTCAAAAATCTTTTTTGTATGTATTTCTGTCTAAAAGAGCCTTTTTATCATTGACCTAGTACATAGTCTTTTCTTTGTTTTTGTTGTATCACCTTGGGCTGTAATTTTTCCGAGATGTCTGACGACCAGAATCCATGGAAATAAAAAAGCAAATCAAGCAATTCAAATTAAAATTCCTTCGACGTAAAGGTGGAGAAATTTCGAAATGTAATGACGAGAGTTGTGTGGCTCATCCGCCACGTTTCCATTGAAGGCTGCATCACCGACCATCCCAATCACGATCCGTTTGGGGATCTGTCCTTGATACTCATTATCTTGAGAAAGTGTGAGATTTCCTATGGGCACTGTGAGAACCTTGCATACTGTACGGCGACGGGGGCATCTCGGTTGCGCTTTTTCATGTGCTAGCTGTGGAAAAAATTTTTTCGGGGTATTCCGACTAAGGCATATGCAACAGAGTTTCCATCTAGTAAGCGGAGAAGGTAATTCCAATTTAGAGCGGAATCCATGTCACTTATTCTCTCAAATAGAGATACACTTATCAAAATCAGTTTTTTTTTTCGGTGAAGTACAGGGTGTCCCGTAAGTCAGGACCCATAGGGATTTCTATTATTTTTTTATTATATTGCACCCATTGTAGAGGCGTGTCAAGAAATTTCTGCGACTGTGATTCAGAAAGTGCGGTTGCAGTGGAGATTGCGTCTTCAACTATGTGTGCGACACAACGGCGGACACTTTGAACAGTTTATGTTATACATTTTTGGACTATTTTGTA